ATTCCGAGCTATGGCCCTATACTTGATACAAGCCCTCCGTGCTCACTTCACCTCACCGACGACACCCGGGGCTCCCACGTAGCTCGTATGTGCAGTATACCAACTCGGCATTGCTGCGATAACTGGGGTCGTTCAGTGATCGGGTGGTGTCCTGAACTGAACTTCATTTGAAGAGGCTCTGCCGGAAGAACAAACCGTTAGGGAACGAATGCTACTGCTGCTCATGCTCTGAGCATTCAGATTTGGCAGTGCTGGCGAAACGAACGTACATTTCTGACTGGGGCAAGTGAGTTGCCGTGAGCTTAAACATATCCAAGCGGCCAAGCAACACCCCAGCCCGTGCACAAAGCCATGACATCCACTCTTTTTATTGCGAGCAGAGCTCCCGGAGATTTCGATGTACACACCGGCTTCTTCAGCCGTGAAGGGGTCCTACTGCTGATGGACAAAATCCTGCATGACCCTAAGGACTCTAAACTATGAGAACTATGGTATATATTCCTCATAAAGGGTAATGCAGGATTTTGTCCATCAGCAGTATACCTGAACTTCTCGTGTCTGCAGCATCCTCAGTCAGCTTCATCTTGCTCCATCCTCGCACGAGCTCCAGGTATTCTCGTTTGCTTCGCATCACAACCATCTCCTTCAGGAGAAGGGGCTCCCTTAAATGGGAGTTTCCGAAAATAGGGCACCCTAATACAGCACCCTACATACTAGGATCCTTATTACAAGGACCCCCAAATAGCGTACCCCTAATTTTCGGAAACTCCGTTATATGTTTAGAGCTTAGGCTTCGGCATGAGGATGGTCTTTAAGACGATAACGGTATTCATTAGGCTTCAAGATCTAGATCTTCGTGGACAACAATTGAAGGACTGAGGCTCGGGCACGTGGTGCTGTGTCCTCAGGAAGAGAGCTGCTCATTTCATCGTCCTTACTTGCTGTTGCTGATTAACCATACAGAAAGGACTGTTGTGGCATGTATAGATTAGCAGTTTTTACAGGCTCAAGAGTCCTCTCTAACCATAACACCGGGACTCCAAGTTGTGCAAGTTGTTGGCCATCAGCCGTAGCCTGGATTTTCCCATAGCCTCCTTTACGAGTTGCCCCCCGCCGCCTTCCCTAATTGATAGTCCCAGCAGTGCTGCAAAGCCCTATGAAGCCTTTGACCCTTTATACTGTTCCCTCGCACTTCCGTTGATCAAGACAAAAACCCAGGGACCGGGCAGCTTCCCTTCAGCAGTGAATGGTTAAAGAGCGCAAGTGATACCAGCTCACCTGCCGCCCCATCAGAAATGCGAATTTTACAAGACCTTTATCACATTCCGGTAGGCGCAACTCCGACAACCCTAGAACTGCAAAGCAACACAATTCTCAGGAGCGGACAACCTAAGACCTACAGCATCCTAAAGACGAATGGCCTGCTGTAGAAGCCTGAATAATCAGAATATTGATTTGGGTGTTCCTTATAATACGTGTAATATTATAATATACCCCCAAGCCCTGTTCCGAATATTATTTCGAAGTATAGATGCCCCCTTTTATTAGACGACCCTTCTCCATCAGCTTTTGCCCAAGAGCCGAAGCCCTCAATAAAAAGAGGACGCGGCAGCTGCCATAACGGCTGCATGGAAGGATCCTGGACTTCGGGCCTGGTAGAAATACTGCTGAGTCCTTTAAAGGGATCTATAAGGGTACCTTTAAGGGGCTCCTTTTAAGGGATCTATAGGGTTTTAGGGTTTAGGGATATAAATCCTGCATGACCCATTATAAGGAAAATACCATAGTTCCCATAGTTTAGGGTCCTGAAGGTCATGCAGGATTTTGTCCATCAGCAGTAGAACAGGACAGAAGCAGAATCTAATGTAGGGAACGTAGTAATTAGAATAGGGTTGTGGGCTCCTTTGTAGTATAGTTATGATAAGGAGCCCTAAACAATCACATTGGTAAGTGTTTAGGCTTCTATTGTACCAGCTTTATAGGGTTTGGGGTTGTGGGTTTCCGATGTGGGAGCTCTCTTCATTCAATGAGGAAACTGCTGTTTCGTAATAGGGACACTTAGGGGAGTAAGGGGGAGGGGGGTAGGGGACCGTTAATACGCCTAAGAAGAACCTGATAAGGGCCTAATAAGGTGTCTTTAAGGTAATATAGTCCCCTACTGTAGGAACCTGATTAAGAAACCCTGGTTCCTTATTTGGGTTCCTTATATGAATCCTTATATATTGGGGGTTATAGGCCCAGGGTTTCTTAATCAGGTTCCTACACTACCCCCTTCCCCCTACCCCCCTAAGGGTCCCTATGATATAGGGCTATTTGGGACCGCCTGTTTACTCGGAAAATCCCACATACCATACGGGCGGCTCAACCCAATGCTACTTATGGTTTCCATTGCAGTTCCTATTTTTGGTTTAACCAAATATGTACAAAGGTTCGTCTAAGGTAACCCCAAAAAGGAACTACAGTGGAAACTATAGAACCTAATGCTCAGTAATGTAGGGGCCTGAATATTTACCTATACTATTTTTTTTTTCTTTTTTGGGGGGGGGGGGGGGGGGGCGGTTCCTTTAAAGGGTTCTTTAAAGTGGTCTTAAAGGGATCTATGGTAGGGTTCTATGATATAGGAGCCTTAATAAGCACCTATACTGTTTTTTTTTTGGGGGGGGGGGAGGGGGGGCGGGTCCTTACTATCGACATAGTATAGCGGGCCCCAAAACCCTATTCTAATTAAGTATGCACATTTACGAACCGCACTGGTTCACTAGACATCTAGAGGCAAACGTGTTCACCAAGCTTCATAATCAGAATAGCGCTTCGGGGTGCATTGTACTATCCTTCGAAAAAAGGAATGCTGCACATAGCCATGCCAGCCAGCTTCCGACCAAAATGAAAGCAACAAACATACAGGCAAGTCCTAAAGATCCCTCAACTAAAAACCCCTGCCTAAACCCTAAGCCTGCCAAGCCCTACACCTCACAAACCCCAAACCCGATACGCACTATAAACCCCTTAGCCCTAAACCCTGCACTCCGCAACCCGGCCTGGCGCGCTGCAGCTGCGCGATGTGTGGAGCTACCTCCAAGCAACACTCGCACACCGATTCGTCGGTGTTGCGTTGGGTTTACAGTTTAGGGGTGGGGTTTAGGGTTTTGGGTCTCGGGTAGGATGGGGTAGGGTAGGGTTTACAAAGTTTAGGGTTCATGGTACAGAACTAACTAATTCCTGCAGGGCCTGCGCTCGGCTTCTTGAAGGCTGCCAGGATTCCCCCAAGACTTTAAAACCCTGTATGTCATGTAATTTCTGAAAGCACATTGTGCTTCCTTCGTTCGGGTTATCCCCTAACGTGGGACCCTATCATATCACCACTCCGGAAGGGGTTTCGGAGATTCTGGGGCCCCACCCCTTGCACTGATGAATCGTAGTGTTTGGGCCATTGGGTCCTTTTTTTAAGGACCCCTTAAAGGAACCCTACTCTTGGTAACCTTAAAACCCAAGGAGATAAAGGTTGAAACTTTCTGAATCGCCTACCCTATAAGAATCCCAAACGCTGAAAAGCTGAGTTTTACAGCCAATAAGTGGTAACCCCCAAATTCAAAGGGCTCCAAAGGTGGGATGAAGGTAGGTGGGAAATTCCCAACTAAGAGCCCTTAAATAAGGGATCCTTCATCCTACCTACCTTCATCCCACCTTTTGAGGCCTCCGAAAAATTGCCCCAAGCTCTTTGGCGCCTGTGGGCCCAGTCGCTCGTCCACCAGCCGGAGGAACCGCTCGCCGGCTTCGCCCTGGAGTGCCTCCAAAGTCTTTCGGATGCCTTAGGGTTTAAGGTTTTAAGGGCTTAAAGGTTTGGGTTTAGGGGTTTAGGGTTTAGGGTCTTTCGGGTGGCTTTGTTTTGTTTTTGAGCCCACTCGTCCGAGCTTCCATAAGGCCGATTGGCTAGGAGCATTTGGATGGCTTAGGGTTTAGGCGTTTAGGGGTTTAGGTTTGGGTTTAGGGGTTTGGGGTTTAGGGTTTGGGGCTGAGGATTGCAGGGGTTAGGTAAACCCTAAGCCCTGTATAGTGCAAGGACTTCTTGTCACACGTGTCAAAAGAGTCTTGGCCACCCAAGTTACCCAAAAACTAAATGCAAAGCTCAAATGGCCTCTGCCAGTTGAGTTCAGGTGTTGAGTTTCGGACCCTTGGGTTCGGGATCCCACCTTAGGCCTTGATCCATGTGTAATGCTACTCAACCGTATGTGTAGGGCTTGTGCAAGGTATGTGAATGCCTGCATCCCAGACCGCATGCTCCGACCCTGGATGCAACGCGCACTGGCATTACTACATCAGGTCCAACAGTACAACCAACTCTGATGTCTTTGAGAGATATCCCCGGCAAAATATCCCCGCTTTCAACCCAGCTTTTCTCTTCCGTGCAATGCTTAACATTATCCACCTGGGCAGTTGCTTGAATCTCGAACGCAGCGGCTTGCGATAAGAAAGGCAAGGATTGGCATTCTGTAGGGGCCTACCAATTTTCAACAGGGTGTTGCGGGACAATACACAAGAATTATAATGAGGAACCCCCCAACCCTATTCTAATTATGAAGGCCCGTACATTCCTCGCTCTATCTCTCTCTTTCTTTCTCCCCCACTTTTGCTCTGAAAATGCTTTTCACTGTAGTAACCGTTTCGCATCCGGCATTGATCTGAGTACATATATATGTATATATGCATAATATGTATATCTTTTTTACACACACACACATAACATGCTTATATCTGTACGTGCCAATCTGTGCGCACTTGCATGTGCGAAGCCTACAGGCTAATGTTTGCGAAGGGGGAGAGAGAGAGAGAGAGAGAGAGAGAGAGAGAGAGAGAGAGAGAGAGAGAGAGAGAGAGACAAATGTCTCTCAGTTCGCGATCCCATGTTTTTGGGTCATTCGACTGCGGACCTGCTCTGCTTTTCTTTTTTTTAGAGGTGCGGGGGGTTGGGGTTATGGCACAGGGTCCCTTGCTAGCGGCGACTACCCAGGTCGGCAGAGTTCCGTGAGACGGCTCAGGCGCTCCCAGCCGCCGAAGCAGCAAACCCAACAGAGAAGCCTAGAGGGCCAGGGTGTCGGGTTTAGGGTTTGGGTGGTAGGGTTTATGTATAGGGTGTAGTAGGGCTTAGGGTTTGGGTGTAGGAGTGTAGGGTGTAGGGTTTGGGTGTAGGGTTTTCGGTGTAGGGTGTAGGTTTTAAGGTTTAGGGAGACTACCTACGGCCTCCATGGTAGTTCCTTTTGTTGTTTAACCAGTTATATATTAAGGATCCTGTAAGACAACTCCCAAAAGGGAACTACAATGAACACTATAAGCGGGCGTGGGATTTAGGGTTCTGGGTTCAGAGGCTTATGGGGTTCAGGCTCTTCGGGCTGAGGGGGTCTAGGGCTGGCGACTTTATGAGTTTTGCCGGTTGTTCGCGATGAGGTCTGGGGGTCGTAAGTCTGTTGCTGTCGACGTTTGCAACTCCCAAAGGGTCCTGGGTACTGTTATGGGGGGATACTCCCCCTAATCATAATCGTAATTCCTAATGTGGAAACCCTACATTTTTACTATAAGCCCTAAAACCTAAACCGCCACTTTGGACCCTTAGGGAGTTGCAAGTGCGGAAGTTTAGAGAGTCCTTGGCTTCGGGGCCTGAAGCTGCTTTGGACGGTATAGGGTTGTTTTTTGCTTCGGGGCTCCTTTGGGGTATAGGGTTTAGGGTTTAGGGTTTGGGGTTTACGCTCTCGCAACTCGGACACAGCAAGAACCTCGCCTGAGGGTTTGGGGTTTAGGTTGGTTTAGGGTTTAGGGCTTTGGGCTCTCTTCAAGCATTGCTCAGGGCCTTGCCGCCCCGTGAGGCGTAAGTACTTATTAAACTCAAAAAAAAGAGAGCCCACGTTCAAAAAAGGAAAAGAGTTTATCCGTTATTCCCACATTGCCAAGGAGCATCGAAAAGAGCAGCCAAGCGGAACAGGCCCCTACACCAACTTGCGTGACTGCCATCGCAGCGGTATCGCCTTCAGGGCCCGTACAAATGTGCACACCAGAAAGACATGGGAGTTTGCGAAAGTAGGGGACACTAATATAGTACCAAAAAATAGTAGGATGCGTATTATAAGGACTCCAAAACATGGCACCCCTTATTTGCGGAAACTCCGACATGTACAAATCTGTCAATCTAGGTATGTGAATCCAGGAAGGCTGCGAGCTCACATCCCTGCATCCTACGATCCTGGCGATCGGATGTGAAATGGCGGGAGTCTTGCTCGTTTCCTATTCCGTGTGTACGAGGCATTCATATGCTTCAAGCTCTATTGAAGCCTGCCAGGCCGTTTCAACGCTCTAAGCCCTGCGTTAAAGAATGATAGATTGTTGCACAACCCTACTGGTTTCCCAGATCCTTGAAGCGTCTTGCCCACTGCATCTCACCTGCGTAGTAGAGGGCGAAGAAGCACAAGAAAATAAGACCAGTCCTTAGCCAACGACTCTGCTCGTTCGGGGGATTCTCGCAAGCGTGGCCAGAACCACTCCGAACTCTTCCGCGATCCGTAAGCAGGAAGCCACGTGGATACAGTATGCTAAATTTCTCGCTGGCTTCTGCAGGCTTGCTTACTTGTCGACTCATTGTGTGAGTGCATGGAGCTGGTTTATTCTTCGGTTGCACAGCATTTGCGGTGTTTTGTAAGATTTCGGGAAACGTTTCACCGTGACATTCTTGGGATTATAAGGATGGTAGAGCAATGTATTCCTAGCCGTGAATGGTTCTGTGCTGTACTAGTTGTAGCCTCGTAGCCACTCGCCATCACAGCGATACATGGGAGTTTGAGAAAACAAGCGATCCAACATCTAAGTACAATGATACTTCATATAGGGAGCCCCCCGCCCCCCCCGACATCCTCCGACTCCAGAATACCCTATAAGAAGCTAAAGAACCCTTATGAAGATTCCGAAATTTCTCGAGACCACCCCACTGAAAAAGCCCAGGTTCTGAAGGTAGTCCATGCAGCAGCCAGACCACCTGTTGGTTCCCAGCACTATCAACACCAACAACCAATTCACAAAACATGTGCGCGTGTATTCATACATACATACATGCATGCATACATATTCAAATATGATGAACACATATGTATTTACAGGCATCTGTATATATATATATATATAGAGAGAGAGAGAGAGAGAGAGAGAGAGAGACACAGAGAGAGAGGGAGACACATGCATAGACCCATGAACATATATGTACAATTTTGTATACACACGCATATCTATCTTACACACATGTACATACAAATATGAGAGCGGGGGAAAGAGGGCGAGAGAGGGAGGGAGAGAGAGCGAGAGAGGGACTATAATCAATGATAGCGAATACTAGACGTTCACGGCGAAGAGAATCTGTTTTAAAAGCCACTGATTAATTTGGTAATTCTAATCAGCCCCAGTTTAGGGTCTAGAAGTCGGCCTGGGAGCCGCGAAGCGGTCGCAGAGATAGATGGCTAGCTTCGTCATCGGCAAGAACCAGAAGAAGTAGAAGCCCAACGTGAAAGCCATAGCTTCCGTGGCCACAACCACTGCAGGTGCGCCCGCCACCCAAAGCGCGGCGAGGGTGTTGAGGCTGGCGCTCACGGGGCAAGTGGAAGCAAGCAAGAGGTACGGAAGGGGAAACTGAAGTCGAAGCTCGTCTGAACCCAGCATCTCCTCACGCAAAGGGCCTCGAACATATTCCGTGAAAGCCTCAGTACTGCCATACCACTCCCTGATAGCTGAGTAGATGAACTCCTTGTCGAAGTCCGTGCGGCAGGAAGCCTCTTACTTGTGATTACAGTATGATAGGGAATCGACTGCCCAAGAGGTTCAGGGTTACCTACTCTACTACAGACAGGCACGTAAACCCTAAATATTTGAGCCGAAAGCCCTAGCCTGGTTCAGGTCAAAGCCCTTCAGCTCGGAGATCAGTCGATGCTTCGCTCGGGTATTCACGCGCATGGCGTGCATCAGCACGTAGACGGGGACCAGCCTGCGATGACAAACCCTTTAAACTTCTTAAAAGGCTCCGTGATCAATAACTGAATAAGCAAATACACTAATAACATACATCTAAAGATTTGTACAGATACATATACAACAGATCCCTCTCCTTGCATCTGTATATATACAGAACAGAGAGAGAGAGAGAGAGAGAGAGAGAGAGAGAGAGAGACAAAAAACAACGAGAGAGGAGAGGGAGAGAGAAAGAGGTTGAGAGAAAAAGAGAAAGTAAGGTTGGGCTGCTACACTGCCCAATAAATCGGATACCTCCAATTGCAGCTTAACGAACCAAAACCTAAACAAGTAACTGCACCCGAGATCATAGAACCCGACTCACGAGGGTCATGATTTTAACGGCAACGTACAAGGAACCGTTTCGCTGACTATATCGTCTTGCAAGCAAGACGTTTGATGCATTTCGGTTCCGACATCGAAAAGCATAAATCATATCTACAAAACCCAAAAAACCATAAATCATACCTACAAATCCCAAAAACCATAAATCGTATCTACGAATCCCAGACCGCTGGTTCCAGGGTCGAAAGACGCGATGGCAAAGGCCGCAGGACGCAAAGCCAGAACCAGTCTCGCCTCGAGATCGCAAGGATCAAGTTACGTAGGGACCCGACAAAGTTTAGCATGTAGGGGTCTGCAACGGATAGATACTATAAGGGTTTAGTATGAGGGCCTTAATTTTCGGAATATGGTTTTGTAGTACATTCTGCCACAATCTCGTATATTCGGCTGGAACCAAATAAACGCCCACAGTCGTCTTGGTGATTATGCAGGCCGCTGTAGTAAAGGGTTTAGGGTAGCTCTGCAGCATTCTGGAGCCTTACCTACCCTACAACTCCTAAGCCACTAGACTCCAACAAACCTCGACCCGAAAAGGCATCGCATGGAAAAGGAAGATCGTCGGCTACTTTGAGCCTGTCACCCTATGAATCCCTGTGACGCAGCTGAACCCTAATGCTACACTAGTAATTTGGGTTGTTTCTTAGGGATTAAAGGAACCAAAATGACGAATTGGTTATAAACACCCCTAAGAACATGGGAGCGTCGATAATTAGAATAGGGTTTTGGGGTACGCTGTAATACTATAAATAATAGCAAGGAGCCCTAAGAATAGTATTATTAAGGCCCCCAGATTAAAGCATAAACCCCCCACAAATCGAGGACCAAGGCGCTGCGAACACTGCAAAGAAGAGGAATGCGGCGAAGTATGAGCCCAGAATTAAAGAGAGGAGTCCAACCTGAGGCTGCTAAAAGCTTAGCTGTGCCTGGGGGTGGCTCTGGGCTTCCTGCGGTTGATGATATAAATCCTGCTTCACCCATAATAAGGAATATACCATAATTCTCGTAGTGTAGGGTCATTAAGGTAATGCAAGATTTATATCATCAGCCGTAGGACTTAGTAGGGATAAGGTTGAGGGAATTAGGGTTTAGGGTTTCGGCTTCCCCCTCCTAGTTAGCCAGGACGATGCCTGCATTGCAGGGTGCTCAGAAGAACAGATGACTACCCTAGGGCTTTGGGTTTAGGGTTTAGGTTCGGGCGTTTAGGGTTAAGGTTTGCGCTATCGCAACTCGGACTTGCCAGACGAGGTCTCGGGATCGAAGTACTTTGACTGGCCGGGACTAGCAGCTGACAATCAGTTAAGATTTAGGGTTTACGGTTTAGGAGTCCCGTGGTTAACACTTGAAAAGAAGTTCTCGCTTGGGACCGGAGCATTGGACCTTAGAGGGCCTTTGGGGAGAAGCACACTCTTAAGCCAGGTGCTTGACCCACAAACCGTAAACCCCCAGCCCCCAAGCCTCGATAAACACGGGAGTCAGGCGAATGCGACCGGTGGGATTCGCGTGCCGGTATGCAGCCAATTCGAAGACGCACCAGAGCCTTCCACTATTTGCTCCTAGAGCTCCAGTTTTCCTACACTATATAGTACAGGCTAGCTACTCAGGGTTTCATGTAACTCACTAACCTATTCTTTGGGTAAGAGGGGAAGGAGTTTCACGGGTTTCGCATCTACTGCAACACTTTTTAGGCTTTGGGTTTAAAGCTTGGGGGTTTGTGGCATAGGGGATGCAGACCTCCAGTTGCCCCGTCCGGACCATTATTCAAGCGTTGTGTTTCCCACCCGCTTCGAGGACTGGGTCGAGCTGCAGGAATTCGACACCGACACGAGGGATGCAAGTTCAACGGACAAGAGTCTCCACGTTCAAGACAGCTGCGTAGGTTACAACGCTCCGAGGAAGCAGCTCTCGACACTGAGTACAACTCCAGGGTCATGGCAAGGCTCTGGCCCCTTCTGGGGTTTCGGTGCTCACACTCGGTCCGACCATGCGAGGCATATTGGGGGTTACAGGGGTTTGCAGCCATTCGCTGCGCAGCTGTTGCACTATCATACTGCGGCTTCCCACGCCCAATCCTGAACCCCAAAATCAGCAGAAAACAAGAATCACCAGAATCAAAGCAATCATGACATTGGGGTATCCCAGCTTCTGAAAATCTCCTCAGGAAGGCGAAACACAAATAGCAACTGTGACAGTAAAGTTTCTGGCGACAATGATGCAGACAACCATGTGAGAACAAGCAGATTAAGAATGACACTCTTTGCACTACTAGCTCCAGTTTGAAGTAGTTGCAAGGACTGACAAGACTGCCAAATCCTATAGGCATGTGTTTAGCACGAGCAACCCTTTTTGGCGCGCTCTGACTGTCACTGTCATCCGGCGACCTAACCATGAAGAGAGCCCTTACAATCCCGATCCCTTAGCCTTGGGCTAGACCGTAAACCTAAACCCCTAAACCTCTAAACTCTTAAACTCCAAACCCCTGAACCCCTCAACCCCAGACCTCTTCAGCCTAAACCCCTAAACCCTATAAGCCCTAAAGTTTCGGGTTTAGACCTCCAGGCCTGGACAGGTACGGCTCGGACCAGAGGACTCTGAGCTCTTTGGACATCCGCAAAAATCCGCCCAAGCCGTAAATGCCGCGCTCCATGAGGTCTCTGTCAACCTCGGGTTCAAGCTGTCGGTTCAGGGGTTTCAGGGGTTTTTTTAGACACTCACACTCGGACAAAGCCTGGCAAGGTCTATAGGTTTAGGGTCTAGGTTGGGTTTAGGGTTTAGGTTGGGTTTAGAGTCTAGGGTTTCGGCGCTCACACTCGGACAATCCAATTTAGGTTTAGGGTTTGGGGTGAGGGTCTAGGTTGGGAGTTTAGAGCCTTTGTCGGAGGGCTCATGGCTCCGATAAGGTTTCTTCAAAACTGACTTCAGGGCTTCGGTTGTGCACCTGCCTTTGTCGCTTGACGCTTTCTTTGGGTCTCCTCTGATATTTGTCAAGGACTGAACGGTTCAGCGCTTTAAGCCAGGGCTGTTTAGGATTGAAGGTTACTCAAACGCAGGACATGAGGCCTGATGGATGCTGACGACGTCCAGAAAGCAAATGGTCTTATCGCAGCCATCCAGGAAATACCTGAATGGTTGTCAAAATTATGGTCCCTTTTTGGGTACCCTAAATATCAGGTGCCGTACTATATTGACTAAATTGCGGACTCAAAAACGGACCATAATTTTGACAACCACCTACCTGTTTGCGGTTCGGGTGATCCACTGAAGAGCAAAGGTCCATCGTTAGGAAGTCGGGTTTTGGGGGGTCTTGACGACGGGGGGTCTGGGCATTTAGGTCTAGGTTCTGGTTCAAGGATAGTATATACCTCGAAGCTCCATAGTAGTTCCTTTTTGTAGCTCATATTTAGAATCCTACTTAAAGTAATCCCGAAAAGGAACAACTATGGAGGCTGTGCGTAGGTCGAAGAGATGCACTTGACAAGTCTGTCTACCAGCTTGGAAAGAAGAGAAAGGTCTCATGTTCGACCATGCATGGACAAGTAAAATGAATCTAACTGAAGAAGTCAGGGCCACCCTGAAACTCCAAACCTGAGGCCAAGCTGCGGCGACAGGAAGAGGCCAAAAAGGGTCCCGACCAATCCGGCCACTGAGGGCCAGGGAGAATATGGGCACTCCTCGCTGAAACGCGGGTGTGATGCGAGGAAAGTGAAGGGCATAGCGATCACCTGGGTCAGGCAGAGCGTCACCTGAGTTGAGGTTGAGGTCTCGGGCTTCTGAGATTATTGGTGGCTTTATATGGGAGTTTCCGAAAATTGGGTTACCTTTTTTTGGGGCCATTAAAATAAGGATCCGACTGTTTAGGATACTATACGAAGTTGACTAACTATTTAAGATCCAGGCTGGAAAGTTAAGGCTTCTAGGGTTGCCGGTGAGGACATAGGGTTTGAAACCCGGGGCCCTTGGCAACCATCCCATCCTTGAAACGAGAAGACATGGGTCTAAGGTTTTGACAAACAAAGTACACCTACATACACATATCGCAAGAACCAGCCATCTAGTGCATTCATATGTCCGCAAGCAAAACTATAGCTACCCTAAACCCCTCAAAGCCTCAAAGTTCCACCCGCGAACAGTTTCTACTAATCAGCCGCGCGCCAGCCGTCAGCCCCCAGTGCATGACCCATACTCCAAACACCTACACCGTGAAACCTACTCAATCCCTTTGCGGAACTGTTACGGAACCCTTGTCAGGACCCTTTGACATGGGAAAAGAACCTTTGTACCGCAAACTTCCCTCCGCCGGTCGGCCGTGGTTGCCACGCAAATGACCGTGCATAGCAGCGTGAACCCGAGCCCCGACTGGAAGAGCAGAGACAGCACTTTCCACCTTTAAGGGCTTTTTCAGGGTTCCTGCAAGGGTTATTGCAAGGGGTTCCTAAATGGGCTGAAAGGATTGCTGCAGGTTTAGGGCTGCAGTCATAAGGCTTAGGAGGGTTTGATGATTCGTGTTATGTGGGTTTAAAAGGGCTTGATGAAAGGTGGCTTGCAAAAGGCTTGGTCGGGTCTTTAGCCTTAGGTTTCTTTGATGCGAGGAGGGTCAGACGTCAAGGGGCTCGGGTCGTAGCATCCTCAGCTCACATTGTCAATGGAAATTGCCATTAATGAAGAAATCTTTGCGGACAACAGCAAGCCCTAAACCGTCAGTCGCAGCCGGAGGCGGGGAGTGGTCAACTTAGCTGCACCTCCCAGGCGTGCGCCACGTGTGCGAGAGGAAGATGTCAAAGGCCTGAGAGTCTTCCGCTCGAGATTCCAAGCATTTCCCTTTGAGTTCAGTTTGCATCGAGGGTTTACAATGGTTTACAGGTTTGAAGTTTGAATAAGGGAACGAAACAGTAGAAGTTGGGTTTGTGGAGCTCGAGTCTTGCCGTTTCAGCCGTAGTGTACATGCTGCTCTCTACATCCCGCAAATTCAAATCTCGCCCATGCCATTGCCACTGGCACAACTTCGGAATGCGCGTCCCCCCCGCACCCCAGATTTCTACCTTCAAAATTTCGAACCATAACAACCTACGCCCCTAAGCCCCCGCAGGACTTCTTTGTGCGGTTGAAACATGTTGAAGCTCTGAGCCATGTGCAACTTCCCCTCTCATCCATTGTTGAGGACAAGGGTTACGGGGTATGTTCTAGTACAGCTGTAAGAAGGAACCCGAACTAATTCATTGGTATATTGGTTGGAGTTCATGATTCCAGCTTAGCCTTAAACTTTGAACCGTCGCACTCCCGCCAAAAAGCCTCCACCGGCTCAGAGCGATCCCAAAGGCCTGCACGGTCCTCTGCTGCTTGCAAGGATGCATCGATTAACACACATACACATACTCACTCAGACGCGCACCCACACCCACACCCACACCCACACGCACACGCACATGCACACGCACACATACGCACACACACGCACGCACACGGACACACACTGAAACTTAGACAAACGCAGACACACACACACACACACACACACACATCCAGACACGCAGACACACACACGCACACACACAGAGACAAACACACACAGACAAACACAGATAGATACACACACGCACAGACAGACAGACCCAGAGAGACACTCAGAGAGGTGATCTGTCACGCCAATTCGTGAGCTGATCTTGCTGAGAGTAGTAAAATACTCTCCCAATGAGGCTCGCACTTACCACTACAATGCACTTAAAGATCTCTGCACTGCAAGTGCGAGCGTTAAGATCGCAACCAGTGTACAGCTGACAGGATGCACTGTGTCACAAGCATAGCAGGTACACATCAGGACGTCTCCTGATGCATCACCAGAGACTGCGGGCGTCTTCGTTGGCAGTGATCCCACAGACTCTGTCACTGCCCCCTGCATTCTAAGCACTCTCAGCGGGACATATATCCCATTTACCCACGCTTGTTGGGATACTCTACTGGTGGCCGCTGTTCGTGGACACCTTTATGTGGTGAACATACGCACTTGTTCACTACAGCATCTTCCGTCCCGTATGTTCGATTCTTAGACTGGCCCTTGGATACAGGGTGTGTCTCACACACACCCCGCCTGACCGGCAGGGAAGTTTCTTAATCCATCCGTCCTACGAGGACTGTCAAACATGGTTCGTAGCAAATGTGCCTCACAATCTGACAACATGCAAGTGACAAAACATGCGACATGCTCCATACTCTCACTGTCATCATGCAGCTGGCGGAGGCTGTTGACTCGCAAACGGATTAAAGGATAAAGACTAAAGACTACAGCACAAAAGTAAAGAAAGCACCTCAAGAACTTCATAGAGCGATACAAGATAGAAGAAAGAGTAAGTCATATAGGTTTTTTTTTTTTTTGATCGCAGGCCCTCAAACCGGCCACCACGCAAGAGCCTGTTTAACCTTTGCAGGAGCTGAGGCCGTTTGTAAAATCCCAATAGGCCTGGTCGTCTAATCATCAAAGACTGCACCGTCAGCGTCATCATTCAATGCATCCCCACTGCCACATGAAATCATTGAGTCGTTGATGTCGTCATGAGCTGAGTCACCGTCATCACAACCAGAATCATCACTGTCATCGCGTAGCGGGCCTTAGAAGTGCACTCGCAGCTTTAAAACAACAACGGCTCCCGACAACACGACTTCCCAACAAGTGTTAGCCCCAACAACATTACCCCAATCCTGGCTGATATGTTTGGTTGCTTCAAAGTCATTTGTCAGCACCTCCCAGCCACGACTTCAACCGCTCTTCGCCGAATAACAAAGCATGAAGACAGCGCACTCTAAGACCACAATGTGAAGCAGAGCTCGCTCTTGTGTCGTATTACCGGCATTGGAACGTACATACATACACAAGTACGAACATGCATGCATGCATACAGGCCGTGCCATACAAAGCACGCGTACATACCAGTACCATGCAGAGTGAGCTCATGTGACCTTCGACTCATGTGGCCAGGGTTTCTTTTGACGTCGTGTCTAACAAGCATGATGAAACATGGTTCGAAACAGCATCTTCGCCGCGCGGACGATGACATCAAGGCTTCGGTAGCTTTTACAAGTGAGCAATGATGTCTCGAGGGTAGCCCCAGCTTTGCAGAATATGTTTGAACTGTGAAACGGCATGGTAAGCGTCAGAACGAGGCCACGTGTACCTTCTGATCAAGCACAGCCGTGAACGAACTCCAGAAACCAATCGAGCAATTGACCCAGCCGAATGTGCATTCCGAACCTGCCACGCTCTCTGCGGCATGATGTACCGTACAGTGCGCAGTTGAGGTGAAATCACGAACCCAAGAAACTTGCCGTCATCCACCTTTTCCAGCATGATGGGGTCAACATAAAAGTTCGATTGTTGGAATGCCAAGAACGGGAGAGCACTCAAAACAGAGGATGAAGCAATCACCAGGCGGTTGTCGACATACCGAACTGCGAAATAAGAAAGATCGGCAAGAGTTGCCTGGAAAAGCCAGTGCCATGTCTGCTCTGTGCAAACCACGGGTAGCGCGCTAAGTATAGGCGATATTTGATTTCCAATACTGGTGCCATCCGTTTGTTTCCAAATGGCCCCACATGCACGGAAAATACCCGTAGAGAAACTGGCTTGAACTATTTGCACAAGATCGTCGAGCCTGATGACATGGTTCCCTTGATGTCTGGACCTCTGCTTGAAATGCCCGCTGAACGACTTGAAATGCTTCGCGCGAATGTTTACGGAGATGTCGTATTCACCTTTCTCCTCCTTGTATAACAATATGAGGGTTTCAAGGGCCTGAACAATTCGGGATTGGGGGACTGAGTTAAAAAAGCCGATGAGGTCGTCGTTGACCATGCACAAATCCGCGTCAATAGGAGCTGTGGACAGAAACTGGTGTAACCGTTTCCAAATAAGTGGAGTAGCTGTAGACCCAATCTGCCCTGGCCAGCAAATAGCCATCATTTGCTCAATAGCTGCACATGCTCCCTTCAGCAGTTGTGACATGATTGCATTGTGATACCCAATCACGGATCTCCCTTTCCTGTAGTCCCGCTTCTGCTTCAAGAACACTTGCCCCCTAGGTAACGGTGCATCCACATTTATGCCCCATTTGTAACGACTGGCAAGACCTCTTGGAATGAAACCCGCAAGATTCAGCCTCCAAGCTGCTTCGTCGCCCACAAGCTTGGTGAACACTTGATTGTCATCCCACACGCGTAAACATGATGTAAAGTAGAACTTGGGACAATAGGCCATGAGATGCGCAGACTCATGATCTGCCAAATGCAGCACGAATGCTGAGCTCAAAGCCTTCTTGACTTTGAGGACATGTGACATCTGCAACTTGTGTACCCGGCATAACTGCTGCACATGCTGTTGCCACATCTGCTCCAATAACTGCTGGAATTGCCCGCTCACCACATGCCATGGAATACAATGAACCCGACACCACGATTCAAACTGTTTTGAACATGTTCGGAAAAAGGTATCCTTATCCATGTAGACAGGCGAAGCTGTGCTAGATTGGAGTATGTCCGTCATTCGCCAATCAGCGAACTGAAAGTGCTCTGCAGGGGTTGCAACATGCCCATCCACCATATTAAGATGAGGGTGCTTCTTGGCCCACTGTACACAATCACACGGCAACTGTCCCACTGTTTGCTCATGTAACCGTCGCTCCCACTGAAAATGGTTGTGCAACAAACTGCGAATGGTTGGATGAGC